GCGAAGAACCTATGGATCAGATGACAACACCAGTGATGAGACAATACACACATTGGGACGACATGTATAACGCATACCAATAAAGACAATTGAAGACAAAGAGGGCGACCATCGAGTGGTGCGGTTTCTCCCAAATCAAAAGGCTCTGCAATTTGACAAATATTGGCTCCAATCTCATCATCACATCCTTTAGAGTGACCTCTTGGACGACACCCACGGCTTCGCCACCGCTGTCTTCCTCCGCAGCTCTGGGCGCCCATCGCGTCACCAATTGGTCCCACAAATAGTGTCTAATGTTTAGCAGCGAAGACATTGTCTCACTCTTTGTTTGATAGGTTTTCTTAGATAGCGATTGGCTTTCAATGGGAAAGTAATGACGAAATCATTGAATGACATATGATTTGTGCGACAATTGGCTGTCAATCACAACAAAACACTGTTTTGTATTCAAATGTATGACTCATTCAATGATTTTACGCAAAAACAAGGCATTCATTCACTCATTCATTGTCTGAATGAAGCGATCAATTGATACGACTGTTTAATTGTGGGCTCTTTTGGCACTTTTAATGGCAATGAGTTTAGCGTTGAGTTTGAATGCAATGAATGGATGTCTAATGGGATTGAAAGTGAGGGTTAGTTAGACTGTTGTTGTTGTCATCGCATCATAAGTGAAGCTCTTGTTATGGATTATGACTACAGACTAGATATGTATGCGAATATCAATTGCATCACAATATCATCTAATTTAATGTTTGCTATTAAATGCTAGCACTATTCAGGACACAGTTGTTTACTATGTTAGTTTATTCATATAATGCACAAGTTTGTGCTAGATCATTTATCAAATGCTTGTAACCATGCACAAATAGGTTGTGAACAATTCTTATGTAAACTGTATGACTACATAATAGTCGCGTCTCTGTTTATAATGAAAGTGAAAATTTCATTGATTTGTTGTGGCATTGAATGCATAGGAATTGCATACAAGAGCGCCGTCTCATGTGATTTGCGTTAATGCCTTTAAAACTTTTGAGCGCTAGTTATGAATTAAACAGATTATAACTTACTATTAACCATGGTCAATTCGTATCCGTAAGAAAATGAATATGGTTGAACAATTAGTTGTGATACTTTTAATTGAGGTCATATTTTGCACATTAATATATCATTTGTTACAATATCTTTCAAATCATTTATTTATTCATTTTTTAATACAAAATACAAACAATAATCACTAAAAATTAAATATTGGCCTCAAAATACATACAAAATTATCTTTTATTTGTCGCTGACCTCTCGGGTCAGTACGTGTCAAACATTGATGGGTCGGCGCCGGCAGTGGCGGCCATCTGTAGATCACTCAGAAATTGAATGGCTTTCAGTGCGGATGAGTCCTCGGTCTCGGCGTCCACTTCACGTTTGATTACAGGATTGGGTGTCAGTCCGTACGGATGATAGCGATCGCTGGTCAGTGGCGACGGGTTTAATGCCGGGAGCCTTCCCTCTGCGCCGGCCACGAGTCGCTGTGGCTTCGTTTCGAGTTTAATAGAGTGAACGCGAGCGGCGTTTACGGCCATTCGGGCGGACATCGCGTCCATGAATTTGCACTCGCATTCAGTAGCCATTTGAAGGCATTGTCTGAAAAATATTTTTGCAAACTCTTCGGTCATTTTCTCGTCAGTAAATACAATAATAATCCTCTGTTCGCTCGGATCGTCAGAATCGGTGTCAAATTTGAGTCCATTCTTCGAGTTGTGGCCCAAACACATGCACTCCTGTATCTTATCGGTGGACTCGCGGTTAGGCTTCAAACAAATGATGGGTTGTGTGCTATCGGTGCAGATGTCAATGGTTTGCATTTCAACGAATGGTATCATAATGTGATACTTGAATTTAGTGTTCGCTTTATTGGGCGCAACGTTTATGATCCGAAGCCCTTCTTCCCTGAATTCGACTGACTTGGGCTCAGCTCTAAACGTACCGAACATTATGTAATCGGGAAATGCGGTGATCGGGAGGTGAGGTCCGCCACTGCTGTACGTCTGGCCGTTATTTCGCCAATTTTTGGGCGACATTTCAATCCGATGTGTTTCTAAACTGCCGTCAAAGTTGTCGACACGTGTCGGGCCGGCACTCAATGGCCAGTAATCGCCAATCGTTTGGACTTAGACCAAGTGGTTATCGCAAAACAGGCGACCAATCGATGGTCACAACACTTGTAGTGTTTGGGAAGTATTGTATGAATGGATGTGTTGTAGTGATGATATTTGCGGCCAAAGAGTGTGCCAATGGATGCTTAGTTAGTAAACGTGTGTTTGAGTGTCCAAAATGTGTTGATGTGCTGAATGTGTGTGCAATCACTTGACTGACTGTTGGTTATCATTGTTGTCATAAGTGTCACCCCTTCTCATACCCCTGTCATACCCAATGGCTATAATACAGTAGAGAGTCTATTAGAAAGTACATGTATAAAATATTTAAGTTGCAATTCACTACCAATCCATACATTTGGTTGAGTTATGGATTAAAACTTAAAGATTAGTGTTGTTACTAATTTGTATATTAGTGAACACAATTAGTGAACACAAATATTAGTTGATTAGTATAATATGTATTGTTTTAATTCAATTCAATGCCCTGTTCATTTTATTTGCACATAATCTACTGTACATGTATTACGGTTATAAATTTTAAAAATTAAATTAACTTTTTTAAAGTTAAAAATTTAGTTACACATTTTAATTAAAATTTATATTGTTAATATTAGAAAATTACATTATTAAAAAATATTTTAAATTTATTCATATTAAACATAAAAAGTAACATAAAATAACATTAGTTAATCAAATAAATGTGAAATAATAATGTTTACAACAAAAAGTTAAAAGTTATAAAACTTTGTGTAAATTATTAGTTTTTGATTATAATTCCTGTTTTATAAACATTTGTTTATAGGTTTGCGATAAGAGTTGACGCATAAGGAAATTGTGTCAAAACAGAGAGAAATATATGTTTTTAAAAAACTTCTTCTCTTCGACTTAATGTCTATCATATGAACAAAAATTCATGATAAGTAAAAATATCTGTTATTTGTTTGCATTGGTTTTTCTCCTCCAATATCGCAAATCGTAAACAATATTTGTTGTTTTAAACGCTAAACAATTTAGTTTCCCATTAATATAATCAATGCAAACATTTATTTAAACGATTCAATGCAATGATTATAACATATTGAACAACAATTATCGCTAAAAATTTGGGATACAATTTGACGCAAACCGTGTCCTTCGATACTAAACGCCAAACAGTCTAATATCGAGTGAGACGTGAATTCATTATAAGTTTTGAAAAATCAAAAATAAATATTTATCACAATATTATACAATAATATAAGTTATAATTATTAAGTTTTAAATTTGTTTTTACGGATTTTGCTTTTGGCAAACACATGGTCACAATTGTTATTACTTGTAATAACGTGATTACTTACTACAGTATATTTACTTTAATATACTTAAATATGCATATTTGTAATACAAAATAGCCCTAGTACATTTGTGCTATGTTCAGCATATGATGTAAATTATTTAATATTGTTGCCAAATATGATAAATTGTTAATATTTATATATGCATTACGGGAATTAATATAAATTTCATTAATTTTCCACTTTATTACAAAATCCAATAGATTATAAAATATACCATTAATTAAATTACTGTTAATTAAGATTATAAACATTATCAAATTCATAAGTATTACCACATTGATTAAGGTAGTATTTCGTAAATTCATTATAACATAACTCCTTTGAATACTAAAGATCATGTGTTTTACCATTAATTAAACACCAAAAAGCAGAATGACTAAAAAATATGAGACGAAATACTTGTTACTATGAGATTCAGTATTCCATACATTAAATTGTTTGAAAATTATATAAATTTATTTATAGTTAATTGAGAGAATAAATGGTGAGATGCCCTTCATTTGTCATCTAATTGATACCAAGCACTTACTGCAGACTTTAATGTATTTTTTAAAGTTAATTTTATAATTAGTAAATATCTGATTAACATACTTATGACAATTTAATTCATATTTGTTATCACAAAACGAGTCTAAACTTACAATGTTTTAAATATAAGTTTAAATTATAATCAATAGATTGATGTGATTTGGAATTCCCTAAAGTTTTTCCATCCTTTATATGCCTTCAAATAAGTCTGACTTATAATCAAAGTCTATGGAAATTCTGTATATATAACCGATTATAAAGCTTATGGTTAGCATAAATGCCAATATTAGTACAGGTGTTAAAGAATTTGAATTTGCTCATTTATGCAAATAACAATTCCAATTATAATTAAGCAGTAATTTAATAATTTTTGTAAATATAGACCCGAAAAGTTCTTAATAACAATAATATTATGGAAATATAAGAAGTTTTTATAACTTATATTTTTAAAGAAAATCACGACAATTGAAATACTGAAACATTTATTTTGTATTTTGATTCATAAGGAAGAATATAAAATATTTGTAACCATATAATAGTTTGTAAATATTACTAAAATTTAAATACATTTGCACTGCTATTTGTAATAAGCATTGTATCGATAGCTAAATACAGTCGTAAAGACATACACTCCGAAATTTATGTCTCAATATAGGTACAAAGCTATGAGGATTAATTCTCGTTAATTAGCATAGTATAGAGCAGTGCACTTCTTCGCACATTGATGGCAAATGCAACCCTTTTTGTGAACTAGGTGCGAAAAAAAATTGCATTGTTTTATGCTGCAAATTAACACTACTAATCCTCATAACATTGAAGCCTATGCGGCCTATTACCACTCGGCCTGTACATATCGTATAATAAATACTTCAAAGAAAGCTAATATCACAATAAAAGTTAACAATTTGATGAAAAAATTATATCAATTTTAAAAAGAGATTTGAAATTTAAAACTATGGATAAAATCTTTAAAATGTGTGTAAAATAAATGAATTTAGTGTTTTGTTGCTATGAATATACCATTTCTTCTAATTCTGAGCGTTTGGTATATTATATTGTCGTATGAAATGAATCTCCTTTTCAAATGAAGACTGAAAACACTTGACTATTGGTTTCAGATGTGTTTGCGTTATATATTTGATATCCTGTTGTCTCCAATTGATGGGAAGGGATGTGTAGTGAATCAAACGGATCGGATCGTTGAATGGCAACAGTGTATTCTGGCTGTCGTCTAATGACAACATATACCGCTCCTCTTGTCTTTGTCTCAGTTTCTGGGACTCAACCAATTGGCCGATCAGTTCGCTGTCGACCCAACCTTTGGTTCAGAAAAAAATTAATATTACATTTCGTTTCAATTCATTACAATTTAGTTTATAATTTCGTTGACTTTTGAAAGTGTATAAAATTAAATAAATACTACATTAAGTGCGATATATTATTAGATTTAGATAAGCAAACAAAAAGACTCTTTAATTATTCAACGCATGTATAGATAATTAGATTCTTGTCAGAAGAAAAGTAATTATAGACTTTAAGTAAATTATTGCACTCTCTATAGAGTTTTCACTACTCTTTTATCGCACTTTCCTATCGATGAAAATTTCCCAAATATTTACAAAAATCATTTCTACAAATTATTAGCCGATTGTTTGAATGAAAAGCTAAGGACTGCGGTTTGAGATTAACTGATTTTGAGGTTAGATTCACTGACATTGAGTTTTAAGAAATGCAAGCCTTGAATACAAACACAACACATATCACACCATAATTCGGTCAAATGTTTGCAACAATTAGAATAAATATCTGATTTTTAAGCCATAAGTTATATGAAAGGGAATTATTTTGCGAGAAGAAAAAGATATAATATCTAAATATAATAAGACATTAAAGTATTTGGGACTACAATAGCTCTAAACATATGCACATTAATGCTAAATATAGGAAAAACCACGAATGCCTCAATTAATGTGACAAATATATTAATGTCTTTTTGTAAAGTAAGTGAACGTCCGCTCAAAACAAAACTAAACTAAACTAGAATTGTGGAGATTTCCCCCTCGGATAAGATCTAAAGTATCCAAAATTAAACCACATTTTATGTGTCAGTAAATATGTGAACAATTTGAGGGGGAATAGCATTATATACCAGCAATGGATGGCTGTTCAGTCCACCGGCGCTTGTGCTCCAACAGATCCCAAGTGGCGATACAGTGAATGCTTATTCTGGAGACAAGCGATGCCAGCGTTGGTATACTCGGACCGAAAGTGGATCCTATTATACAGGTTTGGTTGAGACGAACCAATCGACACAGTTTTAGATAATCGCTGTTCACATGATGTGTATGAGGAAAATGATTGACAATTTATAGTTACGCCGTCAGTAATAGGAGTGATAATACATTTGATATAATGGTCTAAATAATATCATACTTGAAATGTATGGGAAATTGATTCCTGGTGGTCATCCACGCCTCCTCCATGAAGTATATTTTGGGCGATTGAAGCGCTCGTATAATTGTGACCAATGACTGCCAATTCCTTAACTTTCTCAAAATGCAGGCAACCTTTGGGTTAATATAATTAAAGTTATGATTAGAAAAATGTTTTGCTAATTAAATACACGTCCAAAATGCTTGTGTAAAATGGTTTTCATAATTACTTCAATAAAACCCGCGATTTTCATGCTTTGCATTTCGGGTGTGATTTGCCTTCTGATGACTGACACAACAAATTTGGTTAATTCTGAGCCAAATTCTAACATATCTTTCAATTCAAACATATCTTTATTCTAAATAAATAAAAAGTGTAAATAAAATATAAGTTTTATTATTAGAATTAAATTTAAGGCAACGTTTAATAAAATTTTTATATTTAAAATTCTATTTTAAGTTGAGTTAACCTAAAAAAGTTAGTTAGCCATCGATACTGTGTTTGTATAGTATTATTATTATTGTCTATAAAACTGACAAAACATTTATACAATTCCTTGTATTTGTTGTAAACGAAAAATACAACTCTTTTTCACTTCTCAATTGACTCCTTGACTCGTATTTACGCGAATATTTCATAATCAAAATAATGCTAATCTTTTCCTAATAAACATTACATTAATATAAAAATACAATTTGATTCAAAAAAGTTTTCCTAAAAACCTCATTAGAAAAAATTTTTACTTTAAGTTCAACTAAATTACAAAATAATAAAATAATTTTAGTGCAAAAGTTTATGAGAAAAAAGATAGTATTTTTAATGCAAAGAGAAGGATAAATAAAAATAAATTAAAACATTTCAATCAACAAAATACTGTTTGCATGATTAGTGTGGGGTATGTGTTATGGATGTAAAGAAATACCTGATTTACACGACATTCTCCGGCCATACAGTGATAGAGTTGCGAGTCTTTGAGTCTCAAGTAATACTGTTTATCAATTTCGGTGATATAGAGGGCCAGCGATTGGGGACTATTGGCTCTGATGTTCGCCAGTAGTCTCTTGGCCTCAAACCGTCTCTTTTGCACTAAACTGTTCACTCGCTTCACGAACTGTGGATTAGAGATGGGCTGCAAAACGATGGTCTCATAAGTGGTCTTATCCAATGAGTCCACCGATGTTTCGCTCGCTTTTCGTTTCTTCCCATTAGTTGTTACTTGACTTTCAAACTCATTGAACTCGTGCCGAGCAAAGAGTGTGTCTTCAGTGAAGACCAACGGATTTAATGCATTATCGGTGCACTGTGTCGGCCGATTCAGTGCGTACAAGTCCTCGTATGAGTTCCAGCGTTTCAATGGCTTTTGGATGCGTTTTGATTGTAATAGAAATTTGTTTTGTAGGGAAGGGTCGGGACAGACATAATCAGTGGCAATGGAAAGGACACGGTTTACTTTCCTGTCATTATTACATACCAAACAATATAAATTAATTTTATTTTTGACAATGTTATATAATTTATTAGATAACTTACCGCGAATACAATGAACACCACTTATTGAGGGCCAGATCTGCTTTAGTGTTGATTGTTTCCCAAGTGGTCTTTCCTTTAGTCAAATCCGTGAAATCCAAAGTCAAAGCCAATGGGAAGAGACACGTGTCCTGAAAGCCATTACCGAAACGCTGAACGACGCGAACGGTTTCGGAGTTGTTTTGCCTCTCATTGGAGTCCGAAAGTGAATCGCTTTCATAGGAAGACATACTCGACGAGTCGTCCAACGAGTGGGTGTCGACGGACGACAGTTCGCTCCCGATATCACTCTTGTGGTCGTCGGAAAACGTGTCAATACTACCACTTGCGGACATTTTTCGCGGCGAATCCACCCGATTGTCAATAAACAGTGTTTTGTTGGGAATTCTTATCGACTCTGAACTCAGGCTCTTATTTAGCGCAGAATTTTCGTGACTTAAACTCAATTTCATTTTATCATAACTTCTTTCCTGATGTTTAGAAACATTTGTTTTCTCTTTTTTGTCTTTCAAATGAGTGAAAGCCAACAATGAAGCCAACCCTCCACTCCAGTGTCCTTTCCTTAACACCGGCTCTTTGTTAACAATATATTTATCGCCAAATTCTATGCGCTATTCATATGAAATGCCAATTATTGAGACTAATTCTCGCAATTATGCTATGCTTTTAAGCGATCAAGAATTGGTTACAAACTCTTACCTCAGTGTAAGCGTCGAATTCAGTTATGATTATCTTCTTTGAAGGCATTTTGTTAATTGATTTTTTCAAAACTTTCACTTTAAACCAAATTCAACACAACAACAACTCAAATATCTTTTAAAAACTTCTTATATTAAAATTTTTTGCAAAACAATTAAAACTTCGGATGAAATTAAAAACTAACAAAAAAGAGATGAAATTTAATAAATAATGAGTTGATGTGTGAAAACAAGTTTAATATTTCGTTGAACAAAAGGCGTTGAATAAAAATATGTGTGAAATGAAAATGCGATTAAAAGCACACATGTATTAAACTGATCAAAGAAACAGAATCTATAAGTTTATTAATATCTCAATACAATATCCTATTAATAACTACTCATCAATAAAATAAAAGCTCATCAGAAGATAGAGAAGAAAAAACTTTTAAAGTTCTGTCTGAGCGATGAAATGAGTGAAATGTGTTCATAAGTGAAGCATTATATGGGAATTGGAAAATATTTTTGGGGAATTACCTGATCTGTGATAAGACAAGTAATACAGACTCGCATTTGTCAGCCTCTGGTTTGTTGTGAGCAGTAGTTGTGGTGACTCTCTATTCCCGTTCTGTGACGATATGTTTTTGACGTTTCCTACTATTAGAGTGGATATCAGTATTTTTCTGTACTGTAATGTATAGGCATTATTCCACTCAATATACGTGTAAATGTATATAAGTGTATATAAATTGCACATAAAATCAGACCTAAACCGGCCATAACTTACTTTATTTGGGATCATAAATGTTTGGCAGCTTTTGGGTGTTGAGCCTCAGGCCATACCAATTGACTAAACAGTTTTTCCGTATTATTTAAAACAAAACAGTGAAACAGAAAGTGAGAGAAAACAAAAGAGTACTAAACGATTAGGAATGCAAACAAATGTTCCGTCAGAAAGGAGTTTATGTTTATATTATGCAAATTTAGATCAAATAAATGAAAATATATATAAAAATAATTGACAAATTGATTCAAACTTTACTTCACTTTTTTGCAATTTCTTACAATCAAAACGATGTTAAAGAAAAAAGTGGTTAATATTTATTTTTGACTCTTTTTTCTTGTTGTTAATAAAAGTTGTTTATCTCGTTATCTATTAATTAAAGTTAAAAACTTTGAAATCGAGCGGATATTTATATAACTAACAGATGATAACTTTGAGAATAACTAAAACATATTTATTGTGCGAATAATAAAGTCGAAAGTCGTGTCCTTTAAAAAACACAAGAGTCACAGAAAAACTTTGACAAAAACACAAGAAAACAATGAATTGATTGTGTGTTTTATTGAATAGAAATTCACTTGAATTGTGTTGTGAAGGAATGCATTGACTTTCACTTTCTGTTTCACTAATAGATCCCTCACTTCAATACACTTGTATGCGAGAGACGACTGAATCAACTGAATTCATATTCAAAGCGATAATACTATTTGAAAGCCACTCGGAATTGGGTTAGAAAAACAGGACAACCAAGAAAAAACTTCTACTCATATAATGACAATCAATATTACAAATAAATTAATACATTTGACAATCATTACTACATGTTATCAAAATTCCTTATTTTTCTTCTTCACATAACTATAAAATATTCTTTAAATTTGTTTAATTAGTTTCAATCATTAAGTGTCGATTCATCCCTTAGATAATTTTGGTTATAAAATGCATTTTTATTTGTGTTTTATAATATTTTTTCTCATACAAACAGTTTGAGTGTTATTTTTGCAATAATTAAAGCTCTTTTTACTAGTGTTTAATCAATCAATCAATGAAATGCGCTTAACATCAATGCCTTAATGACATAGATATCGAGAGTTTGAGTTAATTTTCTTCGTTAAAAACTATATTTTTTGATTAATTAATTAATAATTCATGACTTTATGTAAAGAATGTATATCTAAAAGGAAACATTATTTGATTAGATTTGAGACTAAATTTAAAATTCTGGTCACAATTAAGATTTTCAGAAATGAATTGATAATCAAATCATGTGTCTGTCTGACTAAATGTATGCCTATTTATACGGTATGTCAGCATTGGGTACAGGCGTTGTCGGCGACTAATAGTCCGGCGATACAGGCGGTCATAAAACACGATATCGAGCCGGCGATCATCGCTCTCAGAGCCATCGATGATAAGTCAGCCTTTCTCTCGGGTGCCATCGATCCCAACCCTCCCAACTGTATGCCAATTGAGCCAAAGTTAGAAAAGCCGCACAACGCGTACGTCGAGATTAATTGTGCCCTTTTCTGTCATAATTGTTTCAATATATCATTTTTTCATATATTATAACACGTGTGTATATTTTAAAGTGCAGTCAGTTTTGTTTCACAACTAACCGACAAATTATTTAATTTAATCATTTCTCCCAATTCCTGATAAGCGACGAACTCATTGATGACAGTCTTGAGACCGATAAGTGTGGCAACACTTTCGCACTCATCCCAACTGATTCCCATCATTAGAGAGAATGGTATAAATATTTTTGATAGAATCCACTGAAATGAATGAGACATACATTTCAAAATTAATTATAAGATAGATGTATATAACGTACAAAAATGAGTAAAAAAGAAATAAGAAAATTTTAAAAATCATTAGTAATTATGTTAACGATAAATGAATATAATAGACATTAAGACATTAATTCTCTATTGTATTATTGCATTAAAAATAAGTAAATTTTAAGTATTATATTATAATATCATATTATTGAACAAAATATGAAATAATATTTTTAAGAAAATGTATTTGATATCTAGAATTTGAACCAAAATTTCCTCATTTCGGGTCATGTGACAGAAATTTTCAATTTAAATGTTGACTCTTATATTAGATTACGTAATACTGGCATCACATTTGCTGTGTGTAAGATTGTGTACCGGTTGGGACCCGATTAGACACATGATTATAAGTCAAAACACTTATACCATCATATACTGTATTTTCAATCGTGATAAGTAATTGCGTCAAAACACTAGTTGTTGTTTGTCTAACCATATCATCATATTTATGAATGAAATTATTTTTACAATCATTATCAGTGTTTGGATAACACAAGTAAATTATGAAATTATCAATTCATTACTACTAATAATGATAATTGCATTTAATTTAGCAATTAATAAATAGTGTGAAAAGTGTGTTTAAAAGAGAGGGAGAGAGAGAGAGAGAAGCCGAGAGCGGCCGGCGCTGACATCACACTCGCCGACAACAGATGAATGGCACTGACGCCGAAATTGATATACGCGGCCATCACTGAGCCGGCGATTGTGGCGAACCCTCCGGTCATAACGGCGTGTAATTCA